GGACAAATTCATATGGTCGGAAGCTTGTAAGAAAAGTTTCCAAGAGTTGAAAGATAGACTTATGCCCACTCCGGTATTGACCTTACTGGAAGGTACAAATGGCTTTGTGGTGTATTGTGATGCCTCTAAAGTTGGGTTGGATGTGTGCTTATGCAAAATGGTAAAGTTATTACCTATGCTTCAAGACAACTTAAGATCCATGAGAAGAATTATCCCACCCATGACCTTGAATTAGCGACGGTTGTTTTTGCCTTAAAGATGTGGAGGCTTTATTTGTATGGGGTGCATGTGGATGTTTTCACCGATCATAAGAGCTTACAATTCATGTTTAGTCAAAAGGACTTGAATCTTCGCCAAAGAAGGTGGCTAGAATTATTGAAGGATTATGACATGAGTGTCCTTTATCACCCCGATAAAGCGAATGTGGTAGCGGATGCTCTTAGTGGACTATCAATGGGTAGTGTTGCTCATGTTGAGGATGAAAACAAAGAGTTTGTTTTAGATGTTCATAGGTTGGCTCAATTAGGGGTCCAACTAGGGGATTCCACCAAGGATGGTGTCATGGTTCATAATGGGTACGAATCGTCTTTTGTGAGAGATGTGAAGGCTAAGTAAGGTCTGGATCCATTATTAGTAGAATTGAAAGAAGCCGTACTCAAAAAGTCCATTGAGGATTTTTCCCAAGGGGGAGATGGTGTACTTATATATCAAGGTCGGTTATGTGTTCCGAATGTTGATGACTTACGGGAACAGATCTTGGCAGAAACTCATAGTTCTCGATATTCTATTCACCCTGGAGCCAACAAGATGTACCGTGATTTGCGGGAGATCTATTGGTGGAATGGGATGAAAAAGGATATTGCGAGATTTGTGGCTAAGTGTCCTAATTGTCAACAAGTGAAGGTTGAGCATCAGAAACTGGGAGATTTATCCCAAGACATTGGTATTCCTACTTGGAAGTGGAAAGATGTGAATATGGACTTCGTAGTAGGGTTGCCACGTACTCGACGACAACATGACTCGATTTGGGTAGTAGTGGATCAGATGAGTAAATTTACCCATTTCATTCCCTTCAAGGTTTTCTATTCGGCAGAATAATATGCTAAGTTGTATTTGAGAGAGATGGTAAGGTTACTTGGAGTATCCTTGTCCATAATTTCCGATCGAGGTACCTAATTTACTTCACAGTTTAGGAAATCATTCCAAAAGGGTCTTGGTACAAAATTTAAGCTTAGCACAACTTTTCATCCCCAAACCGATGGGCAAGCGAAGCGTACTATTCATACTTTGGAAGACATGTTGAGGGCTTGTATGATTGATTTTGAGGGTAATTGGGATAACCATTTGCCACTAATTGAGTTTGTCTGTAATAGCAATTATCACTTGAGTATAGATGTGGCTCCATTTGAGGCTCTCTATGGTAGGAGGTGTAGATCTCCTGTAGGATGGTTTGAGGTGGGTGAAGTCTCTCTCATAGGCCCGAAATTGGTACATGAGGCCATAAAGAAGATTCAACTTATTAGAGAAAGGTTGAGAACGACCCAAAGTCGGTAAAAGTCTTACATCGCTATTAGAAAGAGGGATGTTGAATTTCAGGTTCATGATTGGGTTTATTTGAAAATCTCACCCATGAAGGGTGTTATGAGGTTTGGAAAGAAAGGGAAGCTTAGTACCCGTTGTGTAGGCCCATATGAGATTTTTGAGGCGTGTTGGCATGGTTGCATATGAGCTAGATTTGCCAAATGTGTTTGCATCGGTGCTTTCGGTTTTCCATGTCTCTATGTTGGATAAATGTGTTGGGGATCCAACATCCAAAGTTTCCTTAAAGGGTTTGGAGGTTAAAGATAATCTTGCTTATGAGGAGGTACCGATTGAGATTTTAGACTGGCAAGTCAAAAATTTGAGAAACAAAGAAGTTACCTCCGTGAAGGTGTTATTTAGGAATCATTTAGTTGAGGGTGCTACTTGGGAGGCCGAGGCCGATATAAAGTCCCGATATCCTCATCTCTTTCCTTCTACTCCTACTCTAGCTTGAGGTAATGAGTCACTCTTGGGTTGTTTTATGTGTTGGGAGTCATGTGTGATTTATATGTTTCCATGATTTCCTTATGATTATGGATGTTCATGAAAAAGCTTAAGTTTTGAAAGAAATGAATTGTATGAGTTATTTTTCTTGATGTTGTTGTGCATTGAGTATGAGTTGCCTATAGACTTCATGAGATGATTGTTGAACATGCATTAGTTATGCTCTTTGAGATTGAAATGCATAAAAGGCTCCATGAGATTGTGTTGAGAATGCTTTTAGTTTGGAGAAGGTAGTTCCTCCTTAGATATGAGAAAATTTGAATTTTATGCATATTGGGTTGCTAGATGTAGTTCATACTTCCTTTTTGATGCATTTGAGTATGATGAGTTTGGAGTTGATGTTTCCTCCTTATTTATGTGCATTGAGTGCATAATGGGCTGTTAGAGTCAGGTTCACCCCTATGTGATGATTTGAGAACTCCTCTTTGGTTGTATGTATTGCATTAATTTGATTGGGTTGTTAGTTCCTCTCCTACTCTCGTAGAACCAGTTTAAATCTTATTCGAGGAGGAATGGTCCGAAGGGGGAGATATTGTAACACCCCGTATCTGGAAAGGGGTAATGAACGAAAATTTTAGAACTCCTAGGTGCCGTCCACGAGGGCCAACCACGACCCGTAGGTGGGTTCGTGGATGGGTGCCTCAGGAATTTTCCAGGTATGGACCACGATTAGACCCACAGATCGTAGGTGGGTTCGCGGCCCGTGGTCCAGGGACCGTAGGTTAGGACAAAAGTGTCTGACCACAAACCACGATTCACCAGGATAGACCGTAGGTCCATCGACTGGGTCCGTCGGTGACAGCTGACGGTTAACTCAGAGGTAGTTGGGTTTTTTTTCTAACTAATTAGTTACTATACTATGTCGTTTTGACTATATTTAAGACCCCTATATAAGCCTTTTTACCCCCAAATTAAACCCATTTAGTTCATTCTTCCAAATTTCCCAAAAGAAATCAAATCTCCCCTCATATATTCTCTCCCTAGAACTTGAAGAAGAAGAAGAAGATTCAACCTAGGGTTTCAAGCTAAGGTCTTAATTCCTCCATTGAAGATAACCAATTGGAGTTGAGGTATGGTAGTTTTCATCCATGAATCTCTTTCATTCATGGAGTTCCCAAATTCCTCTATTTCAAATTGTAGAATTCTCTAATTAGCTAGGGTTTTCTTCAAACACCATGGGTTCTTTTGATTATTGATCTTAATGGTTTAATTATGTCTAAATATGCATGAATTGATGATTTACAATTATTTTACAATGTTTCCCTTATGAACCCATGCAAACCCCAATGTTTTTCCAAAATTGTGATCTCATAGAGTTGGGTTGTAGATTATGAAAGATGTGTGTTATGATCTAGAGCATGAAGAAATAAAATTACATGAAATTATGATAAAATCCCTAGCTAATGCTAGATTTCTAGATTTGGTGATTGAAAGTAGCTTTGAACCTTGAAAGGGCAAAGTATGAGTTTATGCATGATCTTATGAAACCTATGTGGATATTTTAAGGGTGCTTTGAGAGTGAAGTGTCATTATTGTTGTTGTTGTTGGGTTGTTGAAAGGTTTGCCCCATAAAACACTTACAACCATGATGTGAAAGGTTTTCTCACATAGAAAGGATTCCTAGGTTGAAAGGCTATTCTCACCTAATTGAATCAATGAATAAGAGTTATCCTAAGGAACTAGATTGGATCGATAAGATGCCATGTCTTTCAACGGATAAAGAGAATAAGTAAGGAAATACTATTCTGTGGGAATTATGCTTAGCACTGAGTGGATATTGACATTGGGATGGAAGCTCTCCCGTTAGTAGAGATAGGGTTTCTAGTAGCAATATTCTTATACCACAACTATGTGCCCCTATAGGTTGATTAGCTAGTGGATCCACTTAAGCTAGAGGTTCATAGTTCTACCTTAGGCAAGTAGAACAACCCCTTTTCGGTGTGGGAGACACCGGGTGATCATGTTTTAGCTCACATGGTCTCTATGTTGGTTAAGGCTAATTTTCCCACAACAAAATAATTAATGAACTAAGGTTACTTAAAGAAGTATCTCATATGTGTTCAAAGGCTTAGAGATGATTTAGCTTGCACTGGCCATGATGTTATGACTTATGTTTTTTAACCCTCTTATAGCATATTTTAATTGGTCAGTTGCATGTCATAATATGAAATGTCCTTCTTAGCATGTTTTAAATGTTTTTATGCATAACTATCATACTTAGTTCATTTTTGTACTAACGCATACTCTTGCCTACATTTTCCCCAAATGTAGGGTTTGACAGACAGGGTTTCCATTCTAGTGGCTAGAGCTTGGACTTTGATTTCTCTCCGAGCTTGGTGAGTCCTCATGGTTTGAGGACAAACTTTCCTGATTGTAGTTTGTCTTTCGTATTTCCTTTTTGAACATGATATATGGGCCAGACCCACTTTTCATTCGATTGTAATAGATGGCTATGTTGAGACATGAGTTAGACTTCCCTTTTTTTATAAAACTGTTTTGGACTTAAATGTGTTTTACTCTTTATTGTTCTACTACTTTATGTTATGAGGACTAAGTGGCGTGTATGGAGTCCTTCGGGGTTCTATACGCCATGTTACATCTAGGGAGTACCCCTGTGTTATGACAGTTGTAAATAAATTTCTTTTTTTTATTTATTTTTATTGTTTGTTATAGAGTTGGTTATGATAGAATTTTTCTTTTGATTTGTAGGGTTTCCAGCCAAGCTTTTATAAATATAGGATACACTGTATAACAGAGGACAAGAAGAAATGCAAGAGAAAATTTCCTATACTATGCTTTCCTATTAATTTCTTCATGGTATCAGAGCATTACTAGATCCATTTTTTCCCTTGTTTTCCCCGCTTTCTAATTTCTTATATACCAAGAAGTTTTCTGGTTCCTTCAATTTGAACAAAATGGTTGAAGTGACAGATCAATCTTGTAAGAGTACTGCTGCACAAGTAGAGCATATTGATGCCTCACATCCAGTTTTTCTTTCACCATCAGATTCTCCAGGAATTAATATGATAAAAACAACCTTTGATGGCTTCAACTTTGGTAGTTGGAAAAGAGGAATTCTCATTTCCCTTTCAGCCAAAAATAAACTTGGATTTATCAATGGTACCTGCAAATGCCCTGAAAATGAATACACTATGTACGTACAATGGAGGTATTGTAATGACATGATGCTCTCTTGGCTCCTTAATGCTTTAAGCAAAGAAATTGTAGAGAGTATTTTATATTCTCAAATAACATCTGAGCTATGGGAAGAATTGGAGGAACGATATGGACAAGCTGATGGAACAAAACTATTTCATCTACAATGGGAACTTAACAACATAAAGCACGATTCTTATAATGTAGCTGGCTATTTCACCAAGTTGAAGAGACTTTAGGATCAAATGAAGGAACTAAATACCTTCATGACCTGCAACTGTGAGTGAAAATGTGGGGCTAAAACACATATTCACAAAATGAATGAAGATCAGAAACTAATCCAATTTCTAATGGGTCTAAATGAAAGTTTTAATGCCATAAGAGGACATATTTTGATGATGAAGCCATTTCCATGTTCTTCCCAGACCTACTCTATTTGTATGCATGAAGAATATCACCGACAAATTCACTCTAACACTCTGGTATCTACTGACTCTACTACCTTTCTTGTGAGTGCGAGGTCTCCACAAAAATGGCCACCACCGAAAAAGAATTTTGAAAACAGGGGAGGACAACAACCAGGTGTACTAGAAGGTAAGACGACTGACCTATATTGTAGGTACTGCAAGAAAACTAATCATGTAAAGGATGATTGCTATATGTTGATAAGTTATCCACCACACTATAAGATTAATAAGTAGAAGAAGGGAGAAAATTCAGATTCTTATGCTCATACTATCAACTTAGATGAGGTATTTAACTCATGAAATGGGAGAAACAATTTGGAAAAACTTCGGAAGAATCATCTTCTCATTAAAGAGCAATGTGATAAATTGGCACAAGTGTTTCAGTCCATGCATGGTGGAGATTCTGGTTCAGCACACTCCGAGGCATCTGCTAGTGCAAATCTAACTGGTACAACCACTAATTGTCAAAAAGTATTTCCTTTTTCTCTGAATTTCATACTAAGGCTGATGGTAACATTTTTGAACTTTTTTCTCTAAAACCAATAACAACATTTGGATTCTTGACACTGGGGCTTTACAACAAATGACATTTGATCAGTCACTTCTCCATAATATTAGAAATCTTAACAATCCTATTTTTGTCACTTTGCCTAATTCTTTCAAAGTCAAGGTCCATATTGTTGGAAGTATGCATTTGAGTACATATTTAGAATTAGACAATGTGTTTTTCATTCTGTCATTCAAATATAATCTTCTCTCTGTTTATAGACTTTGTGATCAATTTGATTGTGACGTCATTTTTGCTAAACTCTGTTGTGCTATAGAGGCCCTTTGAATGAAGAAGGAACCTCTTTATGGTGAAGCCAATGCAGGGCTCTATATGATGAGAAGCAACACCTTGCAGAAGCATCTTTCCTCCCAGCAACCTGTCATTTCTATTCAACATTCCAATGTCGTAGCCTATGTTCCTAGTCCTATGTCTTGTGTTTCTTTTCAGCACTCTGTTTGTCCTAGGACTTTATGTCACAATGTTTTGAATCATGTTTGCAATACGATTTCCTCTATCAATAAAAGCATTTTTGTTCCTACTATTATGTCTTCTGATAAATTGTGGCATTACAGACTCAGACATTTACCCTACAAAGCTATGAAAAATATCAAATCTGTTTCACTCTCTTCCCATTATTTTTTGGGTTTGGAGCTTGTTCATGAGGGGGTGGACTGGTTGTTACACAACGCAAGTTCATACTTGAGCTTCTCACAGAGTTTGATTGTCTAGATTTAAAGTTTGCTTCCACTCCTCTAAATCCCACTCTCAAGCTCACATTCAATTGTGGAGAACCTCTCCCAAACCCAATTGAATATAGAAGACTCATAAAAAAATTAAACTTTTTGACCAATACAAGACCAAATCTTTCTTTCACCGTCCAAACGCTAAGACAATATATGAATTCCCCCTGCTCTAGACATTATGAAGGTGCAATGCATACCTTAAGATATCTCAGCAAAAATTCAGATTTGGGATTATTTTTTACACCAGACCCATCCTTCCAACTACTAGCTTATTGCGATTCAGATTGGGCATCTTGCTCTGTGAGTGGATTTTTTCCAAGCATGGGAGGATGTCCAGTTTCTTGGAAGTCAAAGAAGCAGCTTGTAGTTGCCCTTTCATCTGCAGAAGCAGAATACCGATAAATGAGAGGATTAATAGCAGAAATTGCATGGAGAGTAAGATTATTACATGATTTATGATTTAGCTACAGAACCATATTTACCAGTACAGGCAGCCATCCACATAGCAAAAAATTCGATCTTTCATGAAAGGATGAAGCATATTGAATTGGACTGTCATTTTTTGCGAGAAAAATTGCTGAAAGGATTAATTTCCCTTTTCTTTGTGCCTTCCTCTTCCCAATTAGTAGATTTGTTCACAAAGGCTCTTGCAGGACCTTTACATCGATATTTATTAGACAAATTAGGTGTCCGAACAACGAACTCAAACTTGAGGAGGGGTATTGCTAGAGAAATTAAATCCCACAGTTCTAATGAGTGAAAAGATGAAGTAGAAGATCAAATTCCCAGCTGTTGAAATGGAATAAAGAAGAATATGGTTGAGTCACTCAACTAGAGCAGGTGGAAAAAAAAGAAAAGATAGACACGTGGAGTTAGACCACATCCAAATACAAGATGTTTTTAGGAAGGACATTTTTGTAAAGTGAGTTGTAAATAAATATCTTTTTGTATTTATTTTTATAGTTTGTTACAGAGTTGGTTAGGATAGAATTTTCCTTTTGATTCACAGGGTTTCCAGCCAAGCTTGTATAAATATAGGATACACTGTATAGCAGAGGACAAGAAGAAATGCAAGAGAAAAATTTCTATACTATGCTTTCCTATTAATTTTTTCACTTTTTTCCTTAGAAATATAATTCTGAGTTCTAGTTAATATGAGCACTGTAGGTACTACAAAATTACTTACTGAGCCTTCCTATTGTGGAAGTAATTCCAAAAATTAATTTAAATTTCTTTTACCATAACAAATTACAAATCATTCCACCAGAAATTCGTAATTGTACGCCTCCATTTATATTTCGAAATTCCCCATTAAACACTTATATAATTTTCATGTTAAGATTACATATACTAATCAATAAATTAAATTACTGTATGAAATTTAAATTTTAAAAGATTAATTTTCTTTAGAGCACTGCTCAACTTATTTCATATGTCAGATTCATAAATATACTTACAAGGTTTGACACGATAAAAACTTATAAGTTTTTAATCAATCTCTATATCGAGTTATGGATTATAAAATATCCATTAACGAGGGCATGCAAGAAACTCAATAACCTTATCATAATTATGAATGAAAATTTTGTATGCATGCTAGGAATCTGTTCTTGCTTTATTTATTTTATTTATTGTTATTATTTGTTGTGATGTATAATGATGATAAAAATTATATTTTTTGATTAAAGTGAAATTTTTGTTTTATTTTAATTCCCACATTAAGATTATTCGTAGGTTTACTTTTAGTAAATAAAATACAATAGGACTATATCTTTGATATTTAATTAATTAAATATTTTTATAACATTCTAATTTAGTATATGATAAAATGATAATTCAACTTTTTATTTTAGAATTTTTTATTTTAATAATATATGATGGTGATAATGAATCATGATAATATTATATACATAAATAAACCCCCACTTTTCATGATGATAATCTAACCAAAAGAAAAAATCTATGAACTTGGCTAGAAAACGAAGCAAACCAGTCAGATCTTAGCAATTGTCAATTCTAAGTAACGGTTGTATTTTTGAAAGTTAAAGTTTCTTCTTATTTTCTTGGAAAAAATTCAGTTGTCATTTGTCATATAGTAGAGTAAAGTGAAGGGCAAAAGATTATTTGGGAACTTTGGTATTTTTTTATTATTATTTTTGAATTTTGTTATGTTTGATTTAGTTAAAATATTTTGAAAAATAATTTCTTTATACGAAAATAAGTTTCTCAGAATGAAAACAATGACTGTCCAAATGAAAGTATAAAAACAAGTTTTATAATAAGTGAATTACTGAATTCCAAGTTTATTATTTCTTTTCCTTCCATTCATCAAACATCCCCAAAACCCGCCCCTTGACTATCCTATACCTCACCAACCCCTAACCCTCATTTCTCACATCATTCCACTAGGGACAGATTTATTCAGGCCGGTGTGGGTGCCACATCATCCACAAGCTCCAATCGAGATTCTATGTATAAATAGGTATATATATACAACATATATATATATATATATATATAAATAATAAGCATGCCACCAACAAAATAGAAGTACTCTGGGGTACCTATGGTACAAGGCTTAATGTTTGAGCCTAAAGTCTAGGGATTGAATCCCGCTATCATATAAAAATTTGTAATTGTTGTTTATTCCTATTTTATTGATTGATTTGTCACATAGATCGAAAAGACGAATAATTTGAACCAAACCTAAAGTTGATTTAGTCAATGAGTCTACTTGGCACCCATAAGACTCTAAATCCTGGATCCTCCTATGCTAATTCCACCAACATAGTATTTTGTTAGATTATATATAAATACTCTTAGAATAATAGTTTCTTAAATTTATTTACCAAATATTAAAAAATAAGTAAAAAATTACTTATTCTCTAATAAAACATTTTCTAGCAAAAGTTTTTACTTCCGTACCAAACACATCCATGTCCTTACGAATTTGTAGTACTTTGCCAATTAGAGTTAACCTAAATTTTATACCAGTGATTTGGAGGAGATCTTTTGAAAAATATTTAGTGCATATTTTTTTTATCAACTTTCCATCAACTTGGCTGAGCAACATGTATTTCCATGGTGCTGTGATCGAATGACAATTGAAGAAATTGAGGAGCCAAAATAATGTTTTTGGCAACATTAATATAGATACATAAAACATAGCATAAAGGCTAAAAGTTGTACACTAATGATGGGTATTGTACTTTTTATCACATAACAATTAACACAAGTTTGTATTTTGATTTTTTTTTTATTTCATGTTTTACAAATTGATGGATCAAAAATTTTGAAAACCTAAAAAAATGTATGATTTAGTTTCATTAATTTGTGAAACAAAATAAAACCTCATACAAATTGTGTGAACCACAAAGTATAGCATACTTTTTTAAAAATTAAAAGTAAGACTGTTGAACTTTATGGTCTTAATTCGTAGGGAATCAAATATTTGGGAATACCTTTCTTGTGTATTTCCA